TTTTGCTTAGGCCAGTTTAAGTTAAGCTACTGTCACATATAACTTAAAGCATTTAGGGCATCCTACTATGAACCAGGCTCTGCACCACAAATGCCACAAATCTTTGCTGCAACAATCCTGTACGGTAGATAACTTCCTTTAATAGCTGTGAAAACTGAGGCATAAATTAGTTAAGCAATTTGCCTAAAGTGCAATAGTTTATAAGCAAGTAACAGTGGAATGCAAACCCAGGTTTGAGCCCAAGGTCTTCCCTCTTTCTCCAATACCAAGTTTTCACTTTCCCTTAACTTGAACACAACTTGGGGGGCCATAAAGTCTAATCGAAATCACTATTTCTCTCAGATCTTTACTCTTGCACTAAATATAATAGATCACAGTTGTTGTTAAGTCCTATGATGGATCCTCTTAAAATCTCTGCTGAAAATCTTATTAAGTTTTCTGTTCAGAATGTAATGCTTTGTAGTAAAAAGATACAAACTCTTTGTGAAACGGTTTGTATCAGAAAACATGTTGTAAAAGCTGTTGGCTGACAGGTAGTTGCCAAAGGAGCCATTTTATTAAATTCAAATAATGTCGAGAACAGGAAGCTGGCAGTTTCTGTTAAGAAGGAATTGTTTGTTGATTGGTTGGTTGGTTACTACATGAGGGAGATGGACAGTTGAGACCAGAATGAGGGGAACTATCACCATATAACCCACGGTTTCTTTCTCCTGGGTTTTTTGTTGTTCTGTGGACCGGAGCTTTGGGAGGTGAGAAGGGGTCTTTTTGTTCTGTTAATCTGATCTAGATACTGTAAACCCAAGTGCCAGCAGGAATAAGTAAGTGAGTAGGCAGCCAGGCTTGTATTCTTTCTTCAAAGACCCTCAATCTTTTTTTTTTTTTTTTTTTTTTAATCTTTAAACACGGGGGATTACTGTTTGCGTCCAGAGTAAAACATGGGGCCTTCTCTTTACCTTTCATTTTCCCATCTTTAAGGAGACCTGGATACAAGCATAGATGGCCCCAAGCTTGGGCCTGGGAGACAGCAGGGTGAGTGGTGGGTGGGGCCAGACCCAGAGAGCATGTGTGCCTGGGGGGCCATGATGCAGGCTCGATCTTGCTAGATTTTCTGGAAATCAGGCAAGGGCAAGCCAGAACTTTGGGAGTCACCCATTTTTCAATGTTGTCTAGAATTATTTTAAAAATTGTGTTGGCGGAACAAAGACAGACCCAGCAACAGAATATAATAGGCTGTGGGTCTTTGATTTGGGACATTTGGCCTAGAGAAGGGAACTGATGGAGAAAAGCTTGATAGGGTTCCATTAGCAAAGACACAGAGCTACTCCCATGAGGAAAGAGATCTGAGTTGCAAGGAAGAGGGAGGAGAGTGAGCGGGCTATGGAGAGTTAGGGAAGAGACTGTGGGAAACTGTAGGTATCAGCCATACTCTTGGTGTGTGAAATCTCGGCAGACAGGTGGAGAGAGGGGACTACAGGAGCTTCGCTTTATAGCCATCAATGGAATTCCCTTTGCTGCTCCTAAAGAATAATTCGGTGTCTATTTTTCTTAAAGATTTTATTTATTTGAGAGAGAGAGAGAACATGAGTGGGGGGAGGGGCTGAAGAAGAGGGAGAAGCAGACTCCCCACTGAGCAGGGAGCCCCATGCAGGACTCGATCCCAGGACCGTGAGATCATGACCTGAGCCAAAGGCAGATGCTTAACCAGCTGAGCCACCCAGGTGCCCCAGAATTCAGTGTCTATTTAAATTGCTTTTTATTTATTTTTTATTTTTTGACATAAGGCTGCAGTTGGTTTAGGCTACACCACACGGGATGGGTAGCCTTGGACCCACTCACCTCTCTGTGCCTCAGTTTCTTCATCTTTAAAGTGGGGATCCACAAGCACTACCTCACAGAAGTAGGATGGAGACAATGCTGGTAAAGCATTCGGCAGTTCCTGCCCCATATTCAGTTCTCCATAAAGGATGGTTATTATTATTTCTTATCTCATTTACTGTGATAAGCTGCCTAAAAATCTCCAAATTTCACTTTTCTTGTATTTCATCATGTAAGGATCATTGGATGGCCTTGTGTCCATGAAGCCTTCAGCACAGTGTAGACAGTCAATGAACCGTGTGCCTGAACCTTCTCTTCCTCCAGTGTCCCTCCTTTCCGTCTTCTCTCCTTTTCTTTTTCCTTCTTCCAGGGAAGCTCTTCAGGGGCTACTTGCAAATAGGTTCAGCAAGGCAGACCAGGAGCATGTGGTATGTCTGAGAGACCATGGTTGGGGGTTTCATTTCAAGGTGATGTGGGGGAGAGGGACAGGGAAGGCTGTTATATAACAAGAATGTTTGCAATGATTTTGAGTGGAGGGGAGAACAGATGAGAGGCTGTGCGTGCAGTTAAGAGGATATGCGGATGAGGGAAGATAAGGGCAGAACGAGGTAGTAGGGGCAGGAGGGAGCGGAGGGGATCAAAGCAGGGAGATTAGGAGGCGGGATCAATAAAACCAAGCAACAGAATGAGGATGGGGCTCAACCCCGATGACAATGACAGAGAGACTGTGATGTCCCCAACCGTGGTCAGCCAGGCAGAGGGGCAGGTTTGATGGCTGAGATTCTGAATGCTGACTGGGACAGGTTTGAGGCACATTCAAGCCTAAACATCAAAACACTAGTAGAGCTGGGATGGAGGTTCGGTGAGAATCGACTGTATCTGTCTTATTATTTGCCCAATGCCTAGGGCAGGGCCTGGCATAGCTTAGGGGGTCCATAAATGTCTTATGAATGAATGAATGAATGAATGAATGAATGAATGAATGAATGAATGAATGCTAGACCAGAATTCAGGCAAGAATTTAAGCCTGGGAATGAGTGTTTTGGAGTCTTTTTATATAGATCCATTAGCTGAAAACGTGCCGTTTAATGGGGGAGCCCAGGCAGAGAATGAATAGGCAGAGCTCAAAGGAGGATCAAGGAGGCATCCTCCTGGGGAAAGACATTGAAAGGGACTGGTAGGTCTTTAGAAGGGCTGGTAAGAGAGCAAAGAGGAGTCAGCGAGGTGAGCATACAACAGACAGATCATATAAAAAAGTGGGTCTTCTATTCTGAGCCTTAGAACCATTACATCAGCCTTCAGAGACACTACAGCTTGGAATCCTAGAAGGACGAGGGCCTGCTGGCACCTGAACAAGAAAAGAATTGCAGAAAAAGCAGCCTAGCAAAAACCTCCCCAGCTTGTTACATCCTGCTTGAGGCAGAAGAAATTCCAGCAGCTTCCAGGAGACTGTCAAGAGGAGGAATTGCCTGCCCCAAGCCAGCGCAACAGCCATGTCCCAGTGGAGCCAAGACACCAAGCCAGGGTGCCATTGAGCAGGACGCACGGTAGCAAGGGAAGCCAGTCAGCCGATGGATATTGATTCCCCATTGGCACACCTCGTCTCTCCAAGCAATCCCGAAGATTCGCCCATTCTCCTTGGGGCTGAGCTGTTTGCAACAAAATATTTTCCCACTCAGCAACTAGGATTCTTGCAAGTCTCATGTGGTCTTTGATGAATGATTTTGCTCATAATTAAGTCATCTCCTTGCTGTCTTTCCCAGATAGCCCCCAAGTTACTGCCGTGGAGACAAAAGGGATATTGTACCAGTGTATGGGGGAGGGGGGGGAGCGTCCTGAAGGGGCAAGGGCTTGAAATTGATCTTCAAGGGCAATCATGTCATTTCTTTGCAATCATTATGGGTACTTTCATTGTTCTTAAGAAGGGAGGAAATATCTTCACTGGTTCTGTTGGACGAGGGGGTGACAGATCTGAAATATTCCATTCCAAAGACTTTCTTGACCTTCAATGCCTTACCAGGGCCCCATGTAAAGACTTAATAAATGTTTATTCATGCCATCAGAAGACACTCACGTACAAACAACTCTTACTGTGGATGAAATACAACGATTTAATACTTCAAGGGCAAAAAACACTCTTCCAGGTAAGCTTGATCTTCTGGGTCTAAGTCACTATTCTCTTCCAGCCAAACACTCAAAGACATTGTTGACATTCTTTCTAACTTCTTCGTTGAGCCTCTCAGTAAGCTGTTTGATTTTACTTCACAAATCCATTTCAGATCTGCCCTCACTCCCCCACCATATCCCCACTGTCACTGCCTTCTTTTAGGGTAAGTCCTCTTGAGCTAGAAAGCATTACAATAAGCATCTCTCTCTCCCTTCTGGCCAGGAGGGATTTGTTCTAGTAACTCTATCTTATACTTCTGCTAGTTTTATGTCAAATAAAATCTGATCATTATTCTCTTACATAAAAAAACCCTCCGAGGAATCAAAGTTTTTTCAGAATAAGGTTTAAATTCCTTGCAGAATTTTCCAGTGGCACCTCGGGCTATGTATCCTGTTTCAACCTGGGTCCCACACACTCAGAGCTGCTCGCTGCTCTTCAAATGTACCAGATTCTAGGATGCTCTTGGACATTTGCTTCCCTTTCTCCAGAATTCCTTTCCCCCCTTCTCCCTTGCAGAACAATGTATCTTCTGTAATCCCCCTGAGTCCTTCGTAGGTCTCACTTCACCCCACTCACCCTACCCTGCTCTACCTATATTCTCAAATGGCAAGAGACCCATCACCCTCCCTCCCCTGGGAGCTGCAAGGGAGGAGACAGAGTTTTATCTGCACTGTTTATTTCCTGAGATATTCCTAGAGTGGAAAGGACAAATAGTATCATGTCCATTTGGTATGTGGGGAAGCAGGCGGGGACAGTGTTGGGTGGAGGATGTCATAGCAAGGCAAGATGCAGAAAGCAACACAGAATTGTTATCTGGCTCTATATCTTCTTTACCCACTTGCTAAGCAACTCCACAAGGCACCACGTAGTATCTGAGGGCTGCTCTCACCCAGAATTCCAAGAAAAGAACCCCGGGTCTCAGCAGGAGCCCAGGACAACCTGCTCAGTTCTGCCAGCCAGGCAGGCATGGTGATTCCTTCTAGAAAACTGAACTGTGGAATGTAGACATTTTCCTAGAAGGAATGAAGCAGACTCCAGGAGAAATGAAGCTCAGAATTAAGTGCACACAACCACAAAACTCAATTTTTATTATTGAAAAAAATTAACATATACAAACATGGTAAAATAAACAATACAGAAGGATTTACAATGAAAAGTCTATCTTTCCCTCAACGCTTGTCTCCCAGGCTCTCTGTAGAAGCCATTATCTACCTCCTAAAAATATTCCACCTTATATATAAAAGTAAGTGAGCACCTGCATACTTTTTTAAATGAATGGAAACACAGTAAAAACACTAATCAACACCTCGCTATTTTTGCTTAGAATATACTGTAGAGATCATTCCATATAAGCCACAGACACCTCAGTTCTTCCAAAGCTGCACCATATTCAATTGTATAAATGAGCCACAATTAGGTCAGCTTCCCTACTGGTGAGAGGCCCTTCAATTATTTCCAGTCTCTGGTTATTAAAAGTGTTGCCACAAACAGGTCACGCATATGTCGTGGTGCACGTATGTCAATACCTGCGATACAAAGTCACAAAAGAGAAGAGCCTATGTCAAAAGATAGGAAAGCACAAATTTATCTTTTTTAATTAATTATTTATTTCTTGGGCGGGGAGGGGCGGAGGGAGAGGAAGAGAGAGAATCTCAAGCAGACTCCCCGCTGAGTGTGGCGCCCAATGCAGGGCTCCATCCCATGACCATGAGATCACGACCGGAGCCAAAATCAGGAGTTGGATACTTAACCAACTGAGACTCCCAGGTACCCTGAAAGTACAAACTTCTTTTAAAAAAAATGAAGGTCCTTCTGTGGATGGTCAATCCCTAGAGTTTTGAGCCACTCCACATGGCTCTGTCAGGTTTCAGTGGGGAGCTGACTCCAAACACAGGGGCTGAAAGGACGTGACCCTAGGCAGAAGAGCTTGGGATGCTTTGGTGTTTTCAAACTTCTTGCCCAAATATAAACCCTCAGCATGGCATTCAAGACCTTTTATGTTCCGGTGTATCATATAATGATGTGATTTAGCCTCATCTACAAACCAAACTGCTTAAAACCTCGAAAACAGAATATAAGAGATCCCAAGATGAACTCAAAGATAGCTAACTTCTCCCAGGGCATATAGAGACATGGCCCCATACTACCAACCTCTTCCTAGCCTGGTCCAAGCACATGTCCCATAACAGTCATGAGCCCCATCAAAAAAGCAGATGAATGACTTTTAGCCATTTAAGACCTATGGCACACCCACCTAGAAATAAAGTTGTGGATGTGGAGTGACAATCTCGTCTACCTACCTAGCCTCCCCCATCCTCACATGCCCACACTGGGTTATGACCAGAGCGGAGTGGGGACTGACTAGAGAGCTCAGGCTCTGTCCCGAGGGCCACCCCTGCTCGGTTCAGTTTCATTTCCATTTCCTTGTGGGAAAGCAGACCTCGTGTCGCAAGACTTACGTGGTTTCTAAACAAACTGGAAATCCAGATGGGTATGTGAAGCCTCTCAAGTTCATAGAATTTGAAAATAATACTTCAAAAAGTAAATCCTATGCAGGCTGAAAAAAATATATATAGTCGGATGAGGCCCATGGGCCCTTAGCTCTCTCTGTTTTAGGTGTAGACAGGGTACTGACATGCAGTTCCCCTTCTTCTCCAAACAAGTTCACCCCTGTGCTCAGCATCCACACTTCTAATCCAAGAAATAGAAATATACAAAGGTCTTCAACTTACAGCCAAAACAGGGGCTGGAAAGCAAACCCACTTTTGTTGCAAGGAATGTTCCAAATGCTTCTCTGAGCTTGTGCTCCAACATTCGGAATGAGGCTAACCCATTAAGCATTCTGAGAACCTCACAAGACAACATATAATTAAGAGCTAAGTTATATATGACCAGCTGGCAAATAGTGGATTGGGCCATAATAGCAACTATCAGTCAGATCAACTTAAGAAATCTACATTGCTTCATTATCAACACGGAAACTGCTTCTTTATCAGAGCCTTCTTGACCATTTCCCACTTCCAGGTGGTGTTCTTCCCTTGATCCTTTGAAATGAGTCATGTGTTCCTTCCTAAAGTACTTCAGAGGAAGAGCAGAAAATCTGGGGGCTCCTCACACTCATCCTTGCCATTCCCCTTTCGAGTGGGATGTGCAAATTTGCTTCTCCTTGGAACAGCCTCTTGTACATATGGTATGTTCTTGGAGGAGATGTGCCTGCGTCTCAGGGAACTTACTCGGGGCAGGGCTGGCACCAGAATATGGCCTTCTTCATCAGAACCAGGATAGTGGGAATGCGGGGCTTCAGGTCACCAATCAACAGCAAGGCAAATCTGGCTACCCATTGTGTATGCAGGAAAACAAGATGGATTTAGGTATATTCTGACTGATTCCTTGTTACTATGTTGAAATGTGAAGACCTGAGAGAGAGAGATTTGAAGTTTTCCATGTTTGTTATATAAACCTTGCTGGAAAATCAAAAGCATCTGTCTACATTCCTCTCTCTATTGGGGGCCCAGCAACCATTCAATTCTCTCTTGATAATATCACCCTGATTTTCTTTTGGAAAATTACCTCCTCCCTGCTGGCTTTGGGCTTAGGGACTTTTTTTTTTTTTTTTTCCAGACACTATCTTACCCTAGTCCGAGACTGAAAATATTCTGTGATTCTTTCATTGGTTCATTTCACAAATATTCACTGAGCATCTACTTTGTTTCAAACGCTAGTCTTGGTGCTGAAAACATGGAAAATTAATAGTCAGTGTCTTCTCACTTCTGATTTTGTGGAGTTTACAGGCTAGGGTATAATCCAGCTTCCATTGACCTAAGCTAGGCTAATTGTCAAGATTCCTCTCTGGAATTAGGATCTTCTACAGAATGACACAATAGCTAAAAACGACTGGACTCATCTATTCCAGCTTGGCACCCTTGTGAGATGCGGGGCAGCAGGGGGGTGTCTCTGAATCTTTGACTCCTAAAACTGCTCATATTTCTATCCATGGGAACTCCTGGGTGCTTACCTAGATCTGTGTCATACTTTCCAGCCTTCCCGTCAATGCCACGAGTACTCAATATACTTCTATTAAACCCCTCTTTGTTTTTGTTTACTGGTGTCAGTTTTTATTGCTTGTAAGCAAAGAACCTCCCCTGATGTTGGAGCTGCTTCTCAGCCTATCTATCTGGTCACTAAGTTGGCTTGGGTACCTCATCTTATCAAAACCTGGAGGATTTTTTTTTTTATCAGAAAAACAACAAAACAAGTTGTTGGAGATAACTGAAGTCATGCTGTAGAAAACATTCATTCTCCTTTCTCTCTCTCTCTCTCTCTTCTTTCTTGACTCCCCCTCACCTTAGAATCAGTAATATCTATAGTACAATTTTAATGGTAACCAATCATGTCTTCTCACTAGAATATTGATGTAGTTCTAAGCAGTAATGATTAGGGACTTATATGCCTTGGTTCTTGCCTATCTTGACTTCTTCCAGGTTTTAACTAAACCACTTCTCCATCCCTCAGTGACTGGCATGCTCACTATTTGGAACATGGATGTACATGCTATTTCATCATTGTTTTGTATCAGGCAGCTTGTCTTTCAGACTCTGTATATTGAAACTTCGAGTGAGGCTTGAAGGGAATAGGAGTCTGAGATATGCCACGAATGCAGCCTGTCTCTTTCTAGGCTGAACTCCCACATGGCAGCAGAAAACATACATTGTTCTGGTTATTTTCAGAGTCCAGGAAGATAATGCAATATTAGGCAAGGTGGTGAGAGCCTAGAAATCGGAGAGGGTGTGCCCTGCCTCTGCCACCAGCCACCACTCAGCTGTTGCCATGTAGAAACATAGGCCCGTATTGCCAGATCTTCCCACTTTTGAAGAGAAGTTTTGAAATCTGGATTTGTGGGTGAAATCTCCCAGTGTTTAGATGTTGTCAAGTAACTAAAAAGGAATTAATGCTTGAAGACCAAAGGAAACATGTCTGTGGGCAGATTTTAGCCTATGCACTGCCAGCTTTCAGCTCTGGATCTTCCTTTACCTATTCTGCAATGCACTTTACGCTATATCAGCTTGCTGTGCTTCTGGATACTTTTAGCTTTATATTTTGGTACTTCCTTATTCCCTTGCCTTGTCTGGAATGGATAACCTTCTCCTAGACCAACCGCTTTATGGTGTCGCCCTAGGAATTACCTCAGGCTGTAACCCTCGGGTGCCCTTGGCTTCATTCCAGGCCTGGGGACAGTTGGCCAGACTTCTAGCCTCCAGCCTCTGCTTGAATGCTTTCTGTGACAGGGAACTTATTACCGCCCATCTGCTGATTCCATAATGTGAAGGCATATGAAGGAATAGAAAGGATACGGATTTGGGAGTAAAACAAGTATGAGTTCATCCCAGCTTAGTTTCTCAGTGTGTGCAAGCCACAGTTTCATCTATCAAACAAATACTTATTTGGGGAATTAAATGTGATAATGCTGGACAGCATATGGTGCCTTTCACATAGGAAGTAAGAGGGTCATAGTTGTAGTTTCTCTTTTTAAAAATTATTTCCCGTCCATTTATCCTAGGAATGCATATGTCAAATTTCATGTTCACAGTATGGTCTCTCAAAATTAAGACCGTATGTAGTCGCTTTTCCAGACTTAACTGAACTGGTCATTTGAAGTGTCAAAGGACCCCATATGGACATGAAGCCCAGTCACTCCTGGGATTCAGGCAAGATAAGGAGGTGTGTTTACAGAGATAGAGAAGGCCTTCTGGAAGCCTGATTGAGGGACTGAAGACCCACCTGGGAAAGGGGTCATCTTAGGACAAGAGTATCAGGGGAAAGGGTTTTGTTTAGTTACAATGCTTCACTTCGGGGTGGGAAGTTGAACTAGGAAAAGGTCTTTCCCAGCACAGCATGTGAGACTTGTGGTCTACCTCATGCCTCTGGACCCATGCATGACTCTCTCAGGAGAAGGCTGTGCACCAAGAAATGAATAAAAGGAAAGCAAAGACAAATAGTTGTTTTGGCTTTGGAAAACCTTGGGACATAGGGGCAGGACGGCTTGGAAGCTCATGAGCAAAATGGGACTGGACTGTGGGGGTGAGAGACAGAAAATGCCGCTCTGCACCTCCCCACCAGCACCTCCTGCAGATGGACCCCTCTCGGGATGACAGGGAGACTGGCTCTGCAATGCTTTACACATGAGAACTGCAATAATCGCTATTATTCAGTGTGATGGTGTGTGGCTTATAGCGTCTGTGACTTGACAATCAAGTAATGAGCTATTGATGAGGGAAATGAACCTGATCACAGCTGAGGCTGGAGACCATTAACATAGAAGCCTTTCCTGCTGAATGTTATCACCTGGGATTCTTTGGCAATAGCTAATAATTATAGCCACATTTATTGAGATGTTACTCTGTCCTGAGAGCTTTTTACAGATTTTTGTATGCAAGTCTCCACAACAAATCTTTACGGAAAGTATATTACCATTCTGTTACAGATAAGGAATCTGGGCAGACGAAAACAAATACCACCAAGTGCTGGGAAATGGGAGCTTGGGGCACACTCATCACTAGAGAGTTTAGTAAGAGACACAGTAGTGAAGTGGCAGACCACACATGGTCCCCTGAGCTCTGACTGTCCTCAGAGGAGGGATGCTCAGGCTGGGCAGAAATGGGCAGTGGGTGGGGACTCTCTAGAGAAGGATGCTGCTCCTGTCCTTGTCCATGGTACTAGGGAAAGGGTAGGGTCTGTGCCTTCCAGACTGCAGTGCACATGGAAATCACCTGGGGGATCTTGTTAAAGAAACAGAATCTGAATCAGAAGTGGGAGGAAGGGTGGGTGGCGAGGCCCAAGACTACATTTCTTCAAATCCCCCAGGGAACACCAGTGCTGCTGGTCCACGGATCACTTTATGAGTATGGGGCGGATCTAGGCGACTAGGTAACAATGGAGCTTTTGGTTAGTTAGAGAACCCACCGTGTTGGGAAGAGTAGCTCTGCTATGGTTTCAGCTTGTATTTGCCACTGAGCTAACTAACCCGCTGAGCCAACCAAAAAGAAATTGCAAATTGAACATAAGCAGAATCACAAAACTAATAAAATTAAATTTTTAACGTTAATTTCATATGATGGTAATATGTTTAATATTGTGGTAAATCAGCACCCATTAAGTGAACAGCATATAAATTACTATAGCCAAGTTTCTTTTCATTTTAGCAATATCCCTTCAAGTTAGCATGAACTAATTGCAAAACTTATTTTTGTACAACTCACTCTGATGTTCTTTTGCCTCCCCTTGATTCAATAGCATCCTTTATCTGTTATGCTCACCTCACTTATTTTTGCTTTAGCCTGTGACCATTGAAGTCATATGTGGTTGCTTTCATGAAGACAAATCAAAATCTTGATTTAATAATAACATCAGAAGCTAAAGTCTTCTTTCATGAAAATAACTTCCAACTGCAAAAAAAGAATCTTGTTTTTCTTCCTGTCAAAATAATCCAAATGAATGTAAGAACCAAAAGATGTGGAATTATGTCATTTTGTTTGTTAATTTTTAAAACTAATTTTTTTAAACGTTGTCTTTTTTCCTTCCCTCAAAATGGTAGCTTTTGACTTCTTCCTTCCTAATCTGATTTCAGTTCTGTTCTCATTTCTAATTCCAAGTTCTGAATTGTTGCTTTTACATGTCAAATCTACAATACTTACATTTTGTTCCCTAATGGTAATTAATCCTCTAAGCCTTATCCACAGGTTGATTCTGAAAATTGAAAATCAATAGTGATTTAATTATTATGACTGTTTAAATGTGGTTCACTACACACCCATAGCTATGATTAAGTGTTCTTTCTCATATGACTTTTTGCCTGGAGTTCAAATTTTTTTGGAACTAATTACTTTAGATGTATTTCTAACTTTGTTCAACCACTTCTACAAATTTAGGATTCTACTGAGCCAACCTATTTCCCTGGAGAGTCCCTTCTGGGCTTTACATGTCTGATAATGTCTTTATTCCACCATCTCATTTATTGATACTTTAGTTATGTATTGAATCCTAAAATGATACGATTTTCCCACAGAAAGTCAAGAGCTCCTAATAGCTAGAGTTGCTAATGGATCATTTGATGCTGCCTTTGCTTTTGTTTTGGATTTTTTTTCCTCAATTTTGCTTTTAGGACTTTCTTTTTATCCTTAATATTCTGACATTTGGTGGTCATGTGCTATATATGTGGGGTTTTTTTCTTAATTCATTGTGCTGGGCACTAGGTGTACATTTTCAATATGAACATGAAGTCCTTCTGTTCTGGAAACATTTTCTCATTACTTCTTTGATACTTTCCCCTGTCATTTGTCTTTTGATCAGATGTTGAACGATCCCGCATTCCCTCTGGGTTTCTTGTTCATATTTACCACCTCTTTATTTTCCTGTTCTACTTTGCAGAGATTTCCCAGATCTGATTTTCCAACTTTTCTATCAAATTATTTTCTATGCTAACAAATAGGTCTTTACTATCTAGGAGGTATTTCTTGGTATGTGTTTATTCCATTTTCACTGGGAAAATGCTTGCTGCATGTTGCAACATTTTCTCAAATCTCTTTGAGAACATACACTAGAGTTTAAGTTCCCTCCTGATCTTTGCATGATGTCTGTTTCCTTCAGAATCATGTTTTGCATCTGTTCACTTTGATGTCTCTCTTTCAGGCTGGAGGGTCTCCCACTTGAAGACCTCTGAATGTTCATGCTCAAGAACAAGTCAATTAAACCTGACCCATATCATGGACAGACCTTGCTGATCTTGCTAATTTATTCAAAGTGAGACCAGTTGAGGGAAACAAGTGAATCAATCCCTGGTGAGCCCCCAGAGGTAAAGAACATCCTTCTGGAGAGAAGACTTCTTTTTTTCTTTAAGTCTTGGCATAGAAACCTGGCTTCCAAGAATTAGGTCCTCCAGGGTGAAGTGGATTTGACTATGTCAAAAATAGACTTTTGATTAATCACCTTGTTTTGGGCCCCACATTGTAATCCTACCCTCCTTTGCACATTTCATAGTGCTGAGGCCCTTACATGCATGAAGGGCATACTGGCTCCCTCTTCACTGGAATCTTTTTCTGTACATACTCTGGGCTGTGGCTTCCTGGATTCTGCATCACCACTTTCTAATCATCTATATTTTATCCATCTTTCAGAGATTTGGTGAACTCTTCCTTCTGATGGCTCTCTTTTCATCTTTTTTTCATTGAACATTTAGACATTATTTTCATTCCTATCCTATCTTTTATTGACGTATTGTTAGAGAGAGGGAACAAACTCACATGGCCAAACAGTCAACTTCAACCGAAGTCATTAATATCACTGTGGCATTAGAAATGCCAATCCACTGACAGCCTGATCTGCTTACCTACATCTGTAAAGATAAATTTTGCCTGTAATTGGCACCAGTGATTACTTGGAGCCAGTGAAATTATAAACCACGGGCAAAGACAGTACTTGATTGTAAGTATATGTTTCAAATAAGATGTTTTCACTGTAAGTAATAGGAAATCTTGACTCAATCCGTTTAAACAATAAGGAAACTTATTATCTCATATATCATTAGGTGAAGGGTAGGCAGGACCCAAAGTAAGTAAAATTGGGACTCTATTTCCATTACTCTGAGATTTTTCTTCTTGCTTTTTTCTGTATGTGGACTCACATTAGCTTCCATCATGGTGACAAGATGGCTTCCTGCATGTACACAGGATATCTTCCTGCATGTGCACAGGATGGTTTCTTGTATGTACTTGTGATGGCTTCCTTCAGGGTCACTAGAGGCAACTAGGGAAACTGGTTTCCCATTTTTATATCTTGTGAATGAGAGAGGGGAAAAATCCTTTCCCCCCCACCATAAAGTAAAAGGTCATCCCATCAATCTTGTCCCTTTAAATCACCAGGAAATGCCAGATTACTTAAATCTGGATTTCTGAAACATAGACTTGCAAAGGAAATAGGATTGCATAAAGAAACAGAATCTGTCCTTAGAGCATGGGTGAGTGGGGGATGGAAATATCTGAAAAAAAGACGAGGCTTTGAAAAAGACGAATGGGGGAAAGGCCACAGGATAGATAAACAACAGCATCCACCATTGGTGGTCATGTCAGTGATCTAAGACATGCTTACATTTTAATTCTTATTAATGCCACATGGCAATGTACCATTTAAATATCCCCATAGAGAATTCTCAGGCACCTGACAACACTTACGAAATACCTCACCTCACCACACTACACTATTTCTCCAGGTGTGGGCCTCCCATGCATCACCCTCTCTATCCTCAGCATGCTCAGTTTTATGTGCCCTCAGAGGTGAAAGTTACCTAGAGGATCTTAATTGCCGGTCCTGAGAAAAGAGTGCCCAGCAAAGGTTTCAAGTCACCTTTATGAGAGGTAAGGCTATCATGCTGTCCCCACGCCAGTGATGTTTGAAAAGGGATGACCATTCTCCAACACTGCCATTCCTTCCTATGGCCAAACCTCAATTTATGGCCCATGCTCAGTTCCTGATCATGCTGCTGTCTGCCTCCACCTCCCACACTGATACTGTGTGTGTAAGTAATTCATCTTCATATGTACTACAAAAATGTCAACAGTGCCAGGTCCATCCAGGCAATAATAAAGTTCAATTAAAACAGGAACTTGCAAAGTAAGTGAATCGTACCTAGATGAATTTCTCAGATGGTGAAGGTCTACGTTTTATTAGTAAAATCTGAAAAATTATGTAGCTTGGGAAAACTGAGCAAGTTAAATTCAGGCAACTTTGTTTTTATTCATGCGTTCATTCCACACCATTCCCGAATGTCTACTATGAGGAAGCAGCTGGATGGGGCTTACAGGGAGACCCAACGTTCCCCCACCATAGAGTGGTGTCTTAAATAAAGTTCCCCAGGACACAGCCTACTGAGATGAAAGTTTGTGAGCAGGAGGTGTATTAGAGGTGCTCTTGGAATTAATACCCATAAGGCAGTGAGTGAAGCAAGACTGACAAACGGAAGAAGATGAACAGCAATGCAGTTGTGACAAAGGCCTGAGCTCATCCCACAGGGAAGTCTGGATGAGGGATGGTTTTCCATCCTTATCCCGAGTTAAAGCAAGGAGCTCAGGCCTCTGCATCTCTACTTGACCAGTCAGTGGAATTTAGCTGGTCCTGAGGAAAGGTCATAACCTTGGGCAAGGCAGGTCCCCTCACTCATGAAACTTCCTGTAGAGTTCTCAGCTATGCATGGTGAACAGTCAACAGTGCTGGAAGCTGGGGAATGAGTTCCTCAGTCCTGAGGCGAATCGGGGCAGTTCATCACTGTATCCGCTGCAGGCAGCAGAGTTAAAAATGTTTATTTAGCTTGACTTGGGTCAAGGGAAAATTAGAAAGTACCTGTCTTGAAGCCCTACTGCTATTCCAAATATATGGTGACAAAAGATAAAATATAACAACTAATAAGCAAAAATAGACATTTACATAAGGTATAAAAAAACCCCAAAGTAAAAAGATATGTACCTAGGGGTGCCCGGGTGGCTCAGTCAGGCATTCGACTCTTGGTTTCGGCTCAGGTCATGATCTCAGAGTCATAAGATCAAGCCCCATGTCAGGCTCTGTGCTGGGCATGGAGTCTATTTGGGATTCTCTCCCTCTCCCTCTCCTCCTCCCCCTCACCTCACTCATGCATGCTTTCTCTCTTAAAAAAAAAAAAAAAAGATATGTACCTATACTTGACACGTTGCCCTAATATAACTTTCTTCATGGTCACACAAAATGGTTCCTAATGGTGATAAGGTGGCTCCCTGGAATGGTTAGAGCCACAGAGTCTTTATTTATATCCCATGAGAAGGAGAGGGGAAAATTAACTTTTCCTTTAACCATAAAATCAAAGTCCTTCTGTCCCATCTGTGCCACACCAATCCAAAGACAGCCAAGGACAACATATCTGTAGAGCAGGAGCCCAAGGTGGTGAAGGGGCTGCTGGAAAAGAGAAAAGGCAGTCAGGAGTTTGGCTCCTATGAGAAAATGGAGACTAAACATTCCCTCGACGGGAAGGGGATGAGAGCCAAGATGACTGTGCGAGCCTAGGAGCTAGACTGTCTTTTCCCACCTCTGAAAGAAAGCTGAGAAAGCTGAGATTTTACTACAATGGGATAATGAGGCAGGCAGGAGGGACTAGACACAGCTTCTACCCAAAACTTGGATGAACAGCCCAATGGCTCAATAGCTGCATCTGTGTCGATGCAATATTATCAACAACAGCCTTAATCCAACACGAGAAAACAGGGTTCTGGACTGGGGATCCTGAAGAGCCAGCTGCAAACCTGGTAAATAGGGAGGAGCGAGCACAGAAAAAAAAAACAGGAGGGAAGAAAAGGTGTTCACTGAAGATGAGCCTACAGTGCAAAATCAAAAAACATGCATGGAGATCGAGTATTAAAGAAGAAATCCTATAGAATCAACAATGAACAATCAAT